ATCACTGCCTGTTTAGCCCCGCCCACCGAATCTACATCACTGCCTGTTTAGCCCCGCCCACCGAATCTACATCACTGCCTGTTTAGCCCCGCCCACCGAATCTACATCACTGCCTGTTTAGCCCCGCCCACCGAATCTGCGTCACTGCCTGTTTAGCCCCGCCCACCGAATCTGCGTCACTGCCTGTTTAGCCCCGCCCACCGAATAGGAAAGAGTGGATGAACTTTATTTTTAATGAAGATCCAGACAGCATCAGTAAGAACTTGATCATTTGTTCACTTCATTTTACCATGGATTCGTTTACAAACCAGGCACAATTCAACGCAGGATTTTCTGAAATACTGAAACTAAAAGACGATGTTGTGCGACTGTATTGGATCCAACAGTAATGTCGCACCACACAAGTGTGAGGAACTGTTTTTATTACGTGCTCACTATTGCTTTGTCTGTTATTACAGATCGTTTGATATGAACGGAGTATTAATGCTTTTTTTAATCTAAATCACAGCATCTTCCATCTCTGAAGGATGCAGCTGTCAATCATACACAGCTATTAGCCAATCACAGCAGTGGGCGTTTACTTCTGAGTCTGCAATCCGCCACACCTATTCAAACAGGACAGAAAATAGACTATTACTTCTGAATTATGATGCTTTTTGATGTGGACCTCAGAGAACAGCACAACATAATAACAAAAAGGCAGTTCATGACCTCTATAAAAGAACCATTCTAACTAAAAAATTGTATTGCCTCTGCGACAGCTAATAATAGGTAATGTTACACAAACCTTGACCGCAGATGATGGGATGTTTGTGCCGATGGGAAGCTGTCTTTGGTACACTGCAGTTTTAAGGATAAAATGTTCAGAAATGCTGTTGACTGATGAATTTGCACATGGCTTTTCTTTTAGCATATTAAAACACCAGATAGACATGTAAACAATTTTAAACACTTGGTTTTCACCACAGGGGGTCTTTAAGGTTGTGTTAGCATTGTAAGTGACTTTAATTTAATTAGCCAAAGTGTCATAATTGATGTGTATATAGTCATAAAAATAATTGACCCTCAACGAAATTAAGCTTTAAAGTCTTTGTCTGGTGGACCCGCTGCAAATGGGCCAAAGTAAATGCAACGACTCTTTCTCGCTCAGATTAGTTATGTACTTATTTATTGATTGATTTGTTTTCTAATAGAGTGACTGGCCTCATAATGGACTGGTCCTGGCTGAACTTGGCCTGCCTTCCCTCTGGATGTCTATGGGTTTGGTAAATGTCAAGTTTGTCCCAAATTTTTAATCTGTTTGACCACATTCCTGGTAAGTCATTGTGAAAAATAGTAGCACTGACCAGAACGATGCATTTGTGCTCAGATGAGAATGACATTGTTTTCCAGGCTGAAAACTGTGTATCAGAGGAAGTGCTAAACCTGCGGTCACTGGTGGCTAACCTCAGACAGCTGTGTGAGCTCGACTCCAAATACAGCTGCCGTCTCTCACTGTCCGACTACGAAAGGGTGAGTATGTGAAACACTGGCTGTGAAAGACTGCCACCCTTAAGACAAAGGTAAAAATAACACATTAAAAACAGTTATAATAATAGTTTTAGATAACCTATTCATTTGTTAGTAAAACCCCCAAAAAACCCAGTGCTGTGTAAAATACTTATTAATATAAAGTGAAATATTACAGTGATGGCAAATTCTTAATTATTTCAGGTTTGCATATGAGGTTCAGTGTTTGTAGTCCCTGCGTGATTTGATAGAGGATTTAATTTGTATTATTATTCTTGCAAGTAAGATGAATGAAGAGTGCTGCTGCAGAAACTGGTGCTCGAAGCAGTGCTCTGTGTAAAGCAATGATCACTTTTTCAGCGCTCCAGACATTTATAAATCAAGAATTATTATCAGTCAATTATCAGTCCTTTACTCTGCCCAATGGACCCTTTTCACAGTCATCAGCATCATAAATTCAAAGTTTAAAAAAATGTAAAAAACATATAAGGGCTGCACGATAAATCGCATGCGATGTTTAACGCGCATCTTGTCAGTAAAGCCACTTCTGTAATCAGCGGTAAATCTCCATCACTGACGAGCTTGCCTGTGAACAACGGCTCTGTGTAGTAAATGCTGCTCCATGTGAAAGCACGCAGGTGATGGAGATTTACCGCTGATTACAGAAGCGGATTTACTGACAAGATGCGCGTTAAACATCGCATGCGATTTATCGTGCAGCCCTAATATATATGTATATATATATAAAAAACGAGTTAACGCTGCTGAGGGTTTTTCTAATGCAGCGATTGTGAGAGTGAAGGTGAATTTAACATTGTTCTCTCTTCTGACTGCCGTTATCAGTCGCTCTGTTTTATTTCTCTCTGAGTCGTGAATGCTCTCAGTATTCCCGAATGAGCTGTTTTCTCTCTGTGAGTTGTGAACGCTCTCTGTATTCCCGGATGAGCCGTTTTCTCTCTGTGAGTCGTGAACGGTCTCAGTATTCCCGGATGAGCCGTTTTCTCTCTGTGAGTCGTGAACGCTCTCAGTATTCCCGGATGAGCCGTTTTCTCTCTGTGAGTCGTGAACGCTCTCAGTATTCCCGGATGAGCCGTTTTCTCTCTGTGAGTCGTGAACGCTCTCAGTATTCCCGAATGAGCTGTTTTCTCTCTCTGTGTGTGCTGTGGCAGGGAAGCACACGCAGCATGGCCTTCCTGATGCTGGATAAGGTGCAGGCCCCGGAGCTGGTTCCTGCTGTGATTAAGAGCAGCGTTCAACCCTATGCTCTTGAGAACGGATTGGACCTGGACCAGACCCTCTTACACTACATCAAGGTCAGACGGGTTTCTCTGTGCTCTTCACTGAGGGCTGCACAGATCATCAGTAAAGCATCGTTATGACACCATTAACTCAGTAGTGCTTGAGCGATATAATCACACCAAGGCTGATGTCTTTATTTGAAACGATGATTTCCAGTGCATGCAAACTTAGCAGATTACTGAGTGCACTGTTAGTTAGTGTTTACTCTCTAAAATGTTTAACAATCTCTTTATTTGTGAACAATTCAAAAACAGAATCAAGAAGTTGCCACTTAAATGAATCTTTATTTTACAGATATATGTTTTATCATAGATAGATAGATAGATATTTTACCCTAATTTTCATATTTATTATTTTTAAAATTATATATTTTAGTTTTTTTTTATATAAAGGATCTTGCGTTGTTTATGAACTCAAAGCACACACTTCCAGAGAGCGCTTCGGACCGACGAGATGACTCCGGTTTTTATTCAAGTGTGAATATTATAGGCTATATATAATAAATAACAGTTAGATATAAGATTAAATTGAATATAAGTAGTTTGGGTATTATTTTAAATCAATTTAAATGGGGTCAGATTATACTGTGAGAGAGCTTGGAGTGATTAAGAAGAGACAGACAGACAACAATTATAAAGTGAAAATCAAATGTGTATTTACAATATTCACATGAGACATAAAACAACACAATAAAACTAGGAAACCTCAGGCTGTTAAAAGCATAGTCCATGACACCATACCCTAAAACAGTCCGAGTGTGTTGATGGTCCCAAAGCTAGAGTCCAACAGTGAGCATGCAGTCTGAGTGAAAGCCCAGCACTGATGAGAGTGAGAGCGTTTGTGTGCCATGCTGCTTCACTTTACAGACTCTTAAGAGGAATAAAAGACACCATGCAAATCCATAAAACTCAAATATATATAAAACAGTCAAAACAAATCCAAGAAATTAACTCAGTTTCCCAGTCCTAGTAAATGTATTTATAGTAATTACAAATATATTAGTTACACCTTTTAATGTCAAGGTTGCAATTAATTAGGTTATTAGTTTGGTATTAGTTCAAAACCTGTTTCTGTAGCCGCCTTGTGTCTTTTACAGGTTAATATAAACCTGATAAACACTTGTGCATTCAGACTCCTAGCACAATGCTAAGGATTTGGCCTGTCCTTGATATGTTTGTACACATTATACCGTACATCAGGTGTGTGCGAGTCTATCTCTAGGGACCAGGCCTTCTGTTGAATGAATTATGATAAGTTTGATTGATTGTGTTGATGTGTTTATTTTTCAGGAGCTGCTAGACTGCTGCAGTTCTCAGATCACTTCTCTCTTCACTGAATGGGAGGCCAAAGCTGTGGCTGTGCTGCGCTGCATGACCGACACGAATGTGAGATCACCGTATACTGATACACACAATCACAGTGGGTTTATGTAGAAGCTTTATTCGTTCATAACTAGTGATGCGTCTGTACTCACTGTGCTAAAACCAAAGATACCCATTTAAAACCCCAAACCCTTCTTTGAGAAAACCGTCCGGCCTTCCTCGCTGATCCTGACTGAAACACGCTTCTCGTGGGATGGAGAGGTATCAGTGCTTTTAACGAGATCATGAACTGAGGAATCAAATCTCGCTTGATCTTTAGACATGTAACAGATCAGTGTACTATATTAACCTCGGTCTCACTTTATTTTAAAGTCCAAGTCTCGCTATTAACACCATTAACTACGACTCTCGCCTCAAACTCCTTATTAATACAAACTGCTTATTAATAGTGAGTAAGGTAGTTGTTAGGTTTAGGTAAAGGGTATGATTAGGGATGCAGAGTATGGTCATGTAGAAGAAATGCTTTATAAGTACTAATAAACAGCCAATATGTTAATAAGCCTCCTGCTGACAGAGAGTGAATCTGCGTCTCATTCAGAGCTCCTGCGGTTTGTTTCGTTCAGATGTTTTTATGTAGCATAATTTCTGTGGATGCACCGATACGATACTGGGCCTGATTCTGCTCTGCTGTACTTGTACTCATTAAAATGCCCAGATACAGAGCTGTGTCCAGACAAGCAGAGAGTAGAATGGAGTTATTAGAGATTAAGCATGTCTATGAACTACGTGTATGTCATTAATATAATGTTAAACATTCAGTATTCACTCCTGTACAGCTGATGTGCGCGAGCTGATAATCAGAGATTTCCCTTCCTCACAGACATCCCTGGAAAGCCTGTAGTTTGGTCAGATATGCCAAAAGCAAGCAAGTAAAACGGTGCACAAGCTGCATAAGTGACTTGATGGTAAGGAGAGAGAGCGCGCACTTCTGTTGCACGATCTTGATCGCTGTTCGCTCACTTACCACATGCCTCATTCGGATTAAAACTAAACCGTGAATATAAAACAAGCAAATTATAGGGGCATTCACTATAAACATTTATTCTAAACGTCAAGCATACACAACTTTATCTAAAGTGGAAGTAGCAGCCTGTGTGAGGTGCTGTACGTGTCTCTCGTTCTGCACCACAATACTAATGTGTTCTGATAGCTTGATCTTAATTGCATTATATGAGTGCTTTGGAATATAAGTCGCAGCATGTGTCGTATGATAAAAAAAACTCAAATTACTGAGGAATCAAATCTCGCTTGATCTTTAGACATGTAACAGATCAGTGTACTATATTAACCTCGGTCTCACTTTATTTTAAAGTCCAAGTCTCGCTATTAACACCATTAACTACGACTCTCGCCTCAAACTCCTTATTAATACAAACTGCTTATTAATAGTGAGTAAGGTAGTTGTTAGGTTTAGGTAAAGGGTATGATTAGGGATGCAGAGTATGGTCATGTAGAAGAAATGCTTTACAAGTACTAATAAACAGCCAATATGTTAATAAGCCTCCTGCTGACAGAGAGTGAATCTGCGTCTCATTCAGAGCTCCTGCGGTTTGTTTTGTTCAGATGTTTTTATGTAGCATAATTTCTGTGGATGCACCGATACGATACTGTCATATCAAATTCTTGTATTTTATTAAATAATTTCACTTAATATAATAAGACACTATAGGACTGTTACCAATCAAATGAAATCAGTATTAACAAAACCGATCTTTCCACTGCAGAAGAAACAGAAGTGGCATTTAGATGCATTTACACACAGTTTAATGAAGCTGAAATGTAGCATGAATGCACAAACTAAACCGTGAATATAAAACAAGCAAATTATAGGGGCATTCACTATAAACATTTATTCTAAACGTCAAGCATACACGACTTTATCTAAAGTGGAAGTAGCAGCCTGTGTGAGGTGCTGTACGTGTCTCTCGCTCTGCACCAATACTAATGTGTTCTGATAGCTTGATCTTAATTGCATTATATGAGTGCTTTGGAATATAAGTCGCAGCACGTGTCGTATGATAAAAAAAACTCAAATTATATTTCAGAAAATGTGTTCATCGCTGTTACAAGAAAAAGTCTTGTGATTACAGTACTGAGCCGCTGCAGTGGAGCAGCTCTAGTGCGCTATTAAATTAAAGATGAGATATGATAGAGCGTTTGACAGCTGTCTGTCAGCACCCCACCACCGTACTCCGGTTAAACAGCACATCTGAACTGCAATAATGCAGATACTCACTGTATACAGGGCTAGACATTAACTCACCACCCACTGTGGCAAGTGGTTTTCCAAAATTACTAGCCACAGTTTTGTTGTCGGGAAATTACGTTTAATATGACTAAAGTTACTGCATACTAACATTTATTTAAATTGATTTCCAGGTAATTTTTTTTGCCTATTTAAAGGGCATTTTCCCTAACCTTATTAAATGTATGCTTTATCTTTCATATCAAATTCTTGTATTTTATTAAATAATTTCACTTAATATAATAAGACACTATAGGACTGTTACCAATCAAATGAAATCAGTATTAACAAAACCGATCTTTCCACTGCAGAAGAAACAGAAGTGGCATTTAGATGCATTTACACGCAGTTTAATGAAGCTGAAATGTAGCATGAATGCATTTACACTGTACAATTACAGCAGCATAAATAATGCTATGAGCTTGCTGTTTTAAACCAGTTTTTTTTTTTTAGATATACAAATATAAAATGTTGGAAAAAATGCAAAGATAAGCTACTTTTAAACATGAAAGTAAACCGCCAGCAGGTGGCAGCAAGTGACTGTTTTAATGAGTGAGTCATTGAGTCGTTCATTCAAACGATTCGTTCAGATGGCTGATTCATTGAAGAATGAATTCATTCACTGAATCATTGACTCAAATGATTAATTCAAAAACACGAATCGTTCAGTAAAGAAACACCGCTGTGTCACTCAGATGCGCGACTGTTCTGCTGCAATCTCTGTTTGAGCTATTTTAACTCAATCGAGCAAAAACAGTCAACATTGATAATATTGTACTAAAATGTAAGTCACTTAATATTAACTACTCGTTTGAAGTCTTGTATGAAATCAATGTCAAGTTTGCAGTTGTGCTTTTCAGGGAGAACGTGTCGTGTTGCTGAACTAGGCTATATGTGATAAACATAAAAACTACATATTTACCACAGTAAGTTTCTTCTGTGTGCAGTTGTGTTCATTTGTTTTGATTTCTCCATGAGATTCTCTCACACACAGACGAGACTGTTACTGTCAATACATTATTATTTATCGCCGTTTACACTAAATGTTGTCAGAATGAAAATCTGAATCATTCTCGCCTGAAAATATCCTCCTGTCCCAGACGAGCATTAATGTGGAGCTCCGCATCTGACGAGTGTTAATGTCAAGCCCTGACTGTATATTAGAAAACATCAACATTTCAGTTAATAATAAAAAATAATATTACTTGCGCCCTGTTTTTAGTGAGATGGATGGGCCTGCATGTTTGCACACAGATCGTTATTCTATCTCGCCCGTAGTTTAGGAACTGCTGCGATAAAGCAATAAAATAACCAGAGACAGAAACACAAGCTTGTACACTACATTTTAATGGGCATAATTAAGTGTGAAAATAACTGAAGGAAACATCTGTTTGCTAAATCAACTAAGCCAACATTATTCATATTCTTTGGGTTTCTGTACCAAGTATTTTTACTAATTACAAATTAAATACAGGTAATGGTACGCAGTATCACAAGTACCAAAAATACAAGTATCTGTATCAGCCTCGGCTTTTCAGGGAGAACGTGTCGTGTTGCTGAACTAGGCTATATGTGATAAACATAAAAACTACATATTTACCACAGTAAGTTTCTTCTGTGTGCAGTTGTGTTCATTTGTTTTGATTTCTCCATGAGATTCTCTCACACACAGACGAGACTGTTACTGTCAATACATTATTATTTATCGCCGTTTACACTAAATGTTGTCAGAATGAAAATCTGAATCATTCTCGCCTGAAAATATCCTCCTGTCCCAGACGAGCATTAATGTGGAGCTCCGCATCTGACGAGTGTTAATGTCAAGCCCTGACTGTATATTAGAAAACAACAACATTTCAGTTAATAATAAAAAATAATATTACTTGCACCCTGTTTTTAGTGAGATGGATGGGCCTGCATGTTTGCACACAGATCGTTATTCTCTCTCGCCCGTAGTTTAGGAACTGCTGCGATAAAGCAATAAAATAACCAGAGACAGAAACACAAGCTTGTACACTACATTTTAATGGGCATAATTAAGTGCGAAAATAACTGAAGGAAACATCTGTTTGCTAAATCAACTAAGCCAACATTATTCATATTCTTTGGGTTTCTGTACCAAGAATTTTTACTAATTACAAATTAAATACAGGTAATGGTACGCAGTATCACAAGTACCAAAAATACAAGTATCCGTATCAGCCTCCTTCTGGAAAAAGTGCTATCGGTGCATCGATGAAGTCAGACCATTG